TATTTTAAACAAAATATTATAGAATTATATATTACCGGTAATACAATTTTTGGGACTCTCCCAAAAGACCTAAACTTAGATAACTAACTGACCAGTGGTCATTTGACTTAATTTAGGTTAGGGTAGGGTAGGGTAGGTTAGGTGAGGTTAGGCCAAATCTATTCCACTCATAAATTTTAAAATACGACCACTGGTCAGTTAGTTATTTTAGTTTAGGTCTTTTCAGTTTTAGGTCTTTTGGGGTAGAACCAAAATTTTCCCTTACATGTTAAACTACAATATTTTTGGTTATGGTAGTTATTTGAAAAATATTATATAAATTTATTATTATTTTATAATAGTTACCGATGTTATCGCGTAGAAATTTATTTAATAGATTAAATCATGTTTATAAACTTTTTTGATAAGTGATTAAAAATTAAAAATTTTAAATATATAAATCTGGGTTAATTATACATAATACATTATACGTAATGATTATAGTTACTAGTATAACATTACATGATTACTAACACGGCTAAATATTTGCTATGTATCCTATATTTTGCAAATGTTAAAAATATAACTTGCATAAATATTAAAAATCATCAAATACAGAGCATCATGGTAAGAAAAATTATTATTTTGAATTAGCCGACGCCTTTGCAGTATTATAGCCAATACCGGCAGCTATATGTCCGCCGTCCACAAGCATATGGGTTCCCGTTATAAACGACGACTCGGGGGCCGACAGGAATAGGACGGCCTGAGCCACGTCCTCAACCACACCACACCTCCCGACTGGAAACTTATTGGCCATACCTTTGGCTATGACTTTCGGGTCAACGCCTGTGGATTTGAGGAAATCCGTTTCGATAACACTCGGACTGTAGGGGAAATGGATTCAAACGAGTTGTATTTATTGGGTAATTGTATTGCTGTTTGTGAGGGTATGAAACATACTTAACACTATTGACACGAATGCCTTTCCCTCCCAACTCAACGGCCATACATCTGGTGAACATATCGGTCGCAGTCCTGGCCATACCGTACGGCGCACTCAGACTGGCCTATTCATAAAGTACGTCAACACTAGTGCTTATTTACGATGTACTAATTAAATGTATGGGAACTACATTACCGATTGAGTACTCCTTACGCTCGACATATTAATGATGACACCCCGGGTCTTCTCCAGGTGCCCGACGCACAGGTATGTCATAAACACAGCCATATCCAAGTCCACGCGCATAGTAAGGCGATAGGCCTCCATAAATGACGGATTAGTAATGCCGACAAACTTGACTGGCATACCGGCGCAGTTGAACAGTACGTCTATTTTGCC